GGCAATCATGGAAAACTCCCCAAATTTCAAGATCTGTGGATTCAAGCTTATTCGTCATCTTGATGAAGCAGTAGGTGTTGCTGTGGCCAGATGTGCCAAATAGAGCATGGCCTCTCAGCAGCTTGCAGTTCTATGGCTGGTCCCAATGGAAACAGCATTTCAGGAGGCCAGACCTAAAACTAACTCTTCTTCGCTTGCAAATGAAGCCAACACCTGATATAGGGGCTTTGTGCAGAACAAAGCTTCCTGGGCACTCACTGCTCTCCCCACGAAGCACACAGTGCTTCTGTCCTGTGACATATAACAATGATGTCAGTTGGAAGAGTCGCAATGAGGTCCTCATACAGCAATCTGGCACAAAACAAGGACTGACCCATAAGATCAACTTTGGAAGTAAATGACAGCAAGCTGTACAGGGATTTTCTTTGCAAAGGTCCACTTAAAAGGTTACAAAGTCACTCTGAAGTCAATCTGCCTGCAAAGTCACTCTGAAGTCAATCTGCCTGGCACTTCCTCCCAAGGTAAGCATTTAGGCACTCACACAGACTAAACAGGAAGTGCTGAATGTCAGTCTGTAGATATTTTGAAGCTATCTTTTCCAGAGAAATGAAGACTGGAATGGAATGGTGATGGATCCAGAGTGGTTTTTCTTTTTTTATCTTTTTATTAATTTTTTTTTTTTTTATTTTTTTATTTTTTTTTTTTTTTTTTTTTTTTTTTTTTTTTTTTTTTTTTTTTGGTGGAACCAGGGATTGAACTCAGGCCCTTGCGCTTATTCTACTGAGCTGTCTCCCCAGTCCAGAGTGGTTTCTGTATGACAAAGTCCACAAAATAGGAATCCAGCAGGTTCCCCTCAAAAGCAGGGCTGAGACACACATACATGCCATGGCTAGTCACTTTTCCACGGAGCCCTACAAAACAATAAGCCTGCAGAATGGCTTTCATGCTTTCCTGTTTCCTTTCCAAAACTTCTTGCTCTCCGATCTCCACTGTTGGTTCAGAGTCTACACTGGAAGAAGACACTTTACCTCTGACTTGCTGCTGTTTCACGTCCCTCAGCTTGTCTCAAAGGTGCTGGGGTTTATGAATCCTGGTTCTAGGAGTACTTTCCTAAGCCTGAGTTCTCTGTAGCTCTTCAGACCTTTTAAAGAGTCTGTTCATTCCAGCCTCTAGTCCTTCCAAGTGAACTAAAACACTTCTTTTGGTCTCTCCATCTTGTACAGCTTTCCCTTGCTACATGTCCTCTTTAGGCCTTCCTACGAAGCACCCCCAGAACCCAGATGTCCTCTTTTCTTCCTCATTCAAGCCATCTCTCCCTCTCTTTCTCTTTCCCTCTCTTCCCCACCCCATGTTCAAATCACAAAAACAAGGCCATAAAAAAGCAGGTTTCACCTTTTTATCTTATTACATAAAAACATAAAACACTAAATCTTCTGGAGGAAATGTAGGTAGAAATCTTCAAAGACATACAGGTAGGGAGAGTTCATGAACAAAAACCAAACTGCACAGAAAATACTTCAAGGATTCATCAACTAGGATTTCAACTTCTTGAAAAGTTTCTGCACTTCAAAGCAATTTCAAAAACAATAAAAAGAAAACCCACAAACTTGAAAAAATAATTATAGCTGACAATGCCCCCAACAAGGGCCTGTCTAGAACATATAAAGAATTTTTTAAAAATCAGGGTCCCCTAAAATCAAAGATCCAGTCCAAACATGTACATTTAAGATGAACATACACTTTTCAGATAAAGAAATTCAAATGGCAAGTAAATATATTAAAAAATGTTCAACATCACTGGTCATTCGAGAAATGCAAATTAAAACAACACTGAGATTCCATCTCATCCTCAAAAGAATGGCTAACATCAAGAAGTCAGAAAATAACAAATGCTGGAAGGGATATAGGAAAAAAGGAACCCTTCTCCACTGTTGGTAGGAGTACAGACTGTTACAACCACTATGGAAATCAGTGTGGAGATTCCTTCAAAACCTAGGATTGGAGATCCTATTAAACCCAGCTACTGCCCTCCTGGGTATTTTTCCAGAACTCTAAACATCATATCATATGTGCACCGACGTTTATAGCAGCACAATTTGTCATAGCTAAATCTTGGAAACAACCCAAATTCCCATCAACTGAGAAATGGATAAAGATGTGGTATTTTTACACAATGGAGTATTATTCAGCTATAAAACAGGATAAATTTGAGGCTTTTATCAGTAAACAGATGCATTTAGAGGCCATACTCTTAAGGGAAATAAATCAGATCCACATGTGCAAACATTGCATTGTCTCCTTAATATGAGAACCTGAAAAGAGAAAATAAAATCTGAGAGGTACAATAGATACTGGGAAAAGGGAATGAACCTGTTCAAAAGGAAGGAATTACTGATTCAGGAGGACAGGCAAGCTAGTGAGGGAAAGAGAAATATCTGTGTATGTAAGCAGGATGGTTCGGACAACTACTGTGGATTTATGCTGGTCTATGGAAAGGAACAGTTAATGTTTACTTTGTTTTGTATCCTTTTTTCAATTCATTGACTTTTTTCTTCTTAATTTCTTCTTTTTCTTTCTTCTTGCCATTTTACATGCATACATCTGGTAATATTAACTAGTTGGAAGACAACACTATGCACGACAACAAGTACTATGAAATTCACATTATTTTGTTAAGCAAAATTCTGTATTACTTAGTGGTTTCATGTTGGGAGTGCCTGTCATTGTGGTATTCTGAATATGGGCGGCTTGTCATGACATGCCAGTTACTGCTAAGATGTCTCTCGAGTAGGTGGATGTTCAAGAAGAAGGGGGTGGTGAATGAAAGCAAGAGACAGGAAAAG